TTGTATGTTCTGATGTTCGTATGTTTTGATGTTTGTATGTTCTGATGTTCGTATGTTCTGTTGTTTGTATGTTCTGATGTTCGTATGTTTTGATGTTTGTATGTTCTGATGTTCGTACCGTATTTCTCGGCAGCCCTCCGATGCATCAGACGCGCCCTTAAATTAAGAAAACAATAATATAAAACATGTAATATGTGCGATTGTATAATAGTCCTGGGGCCCGTTGTCAGAAACAAATTAGTCTTAACATTAATCCTAACATTAACTTTTTCTCTTAGAGCGTTGACAGAAACTTCGTAAAGTTAAGAGAATTAAAATTTTCGTAACTTTTGTCTTAACTTAAGAGATCCTAGACCCTCCCTTAACTTCAATATTAAGAGGAAAATAACACATTTAGACTAAGAATTACAATTATAGTGGTATTATATTTTATATTAATGAGTAATATCATGTGTTTTTCTTGAAAAACACGTCAAAAACATAATTATCTACCGATCGTGAAGCAAAACAAAAGCGTCAAAACATTTACAAATTTGTATTACGTATGGCATTTGTTCTCTTGTTTTAAATACTTTTGCACTGACCACACGACTCTCGCGTCTCGTGTTGCAGTGTGAGAATTTGTTTTGTTGTGCAGAATTAATTCAATTTGCAGTGTATGAATTTGAATTTTGTGATCGATTCTCATCCAATCAGCAGCCTTGTGATGAAGTTCCTGTTATCGTATGTTTTAACTTAAGTAAGTTTAGTTACGATAGGTTTCTGTCAACGCTATTAACTTTTCTGTTAACATTAACATCAGTCTTAAAATTAATCGTAACTTTACGAAGTTTCTGACAACGGGCCCCTGCTCTCTGCCAGGTATATGATCAGCATAAACAAGGACGCACTCTCTTGTTTTTCCCGACCGTGTATTCCTCTTTAAATTTCTCTATTTTATAAGCCCTCCTTACTATGAGTCTTGGTTAATATCAAGAGTACATAATAGAGAAGAGTATGACACTGTTTTAACAGCGTTTTGCGTAGTTTTTAACTTGAATTTATTCTATCAATATGTGAATAAATATATTCAAACTTTACCTTGTTTTGTTCTCTGATTCTCCCTTAATCATATGACACAACCAGTTTACCTAAATATCGTATGTGTTCTTCAAAAAAGTTATTTGAATACGACACGGGTTCACACAATTTTCCGCACGATTTGCATGTCTTGGATAAAACTTTCTACCCGCGGCAGCACCAGATTTGTTACTACGGGACGCTGGGGGCTGTTGGGGATAATAGGTAAGCACAGTAACAGTCCCAGTGTCCGCTGTTGAGGTGTGTTTGCGTCAAAACAAAACCATGGCAACACAGCTAAAATCAGCTGCTAGCTCGCCGTGAGCACACATTTATTTTTAACACGCTGGAAACACAATACACACTGCTTAAGAATTGTGAAGCATCGTCATATAAGCCCCCATTTTCGTAAGTAGTAACATTTGTGTGCCGCGATGTTCATGACTAGGATTTACTATGTGCGAGGATACGCGCGTACATGGTTTGTGTGTGAACACGCGTGTACATGGTCTGTGCGTGGACACGCGTGTACATGGTCTGTGTGTGGACACACGTGTACATGGTCTGTGTGTGGACACGCGTGTACATGGTCTGTGTGTGAACACGCGTTTACATGTTCTGTGTGTGGACACGCGTGTACATGGTCTGTGCGTGGACACGCGTGTACATGGTCTGTGCGTGGACACGCGTGTACATGGTCTGTGTGTGAACACGTGTGTACATGGTCTGTGCGTGGACACGCGTGTACATGGTCTGTGTGTGGACACGCGTGTACATGGTCTGTGTGTAGACACGCGCGTACATGGTCTGTGCGTGGACACGCGTGTACATGGTCTGTGCGTGAACACGCGTGTACATGGCCTGTGTGTGAGTATACGCACGTGTAGGAGCGGATGTATAGGTGTGTAAACGCGCACCTACATTAACGCCACTAGTCATAATTACGACAGACATGAATAAACAATTAATTCCAATAGATGATGAATGCAGGTCACACCTGTAACTGATCAATTTGACGCTCAGCTAATGCATATTCATGCCAATGCTAAACGCATGATATTGATGAGCTATGAGGCTGGTATAGCGATATAGTACGTGGGAATAGATATAGGGTTCTACTAAATACAGTTAGATACAGTTCATGATATCTAGAAGCGAGGAGGTGCGTTAGAACTAGGCGCGGGGAAAGCTATGGACGTTTAAAACGGAATCGATCCATTTTTCTAGATCTCCCGAAATGGAGTTTTTTCTTTCCGAACGCACATTTTTCGGATCGCCTTCAAACGAGAAGTGAGGCTTGATAAGATATGATTGTCGAAATCGCGTGTGTAACTACAGAGAGATGTGTGTATCGTTCTCACAGGCAAATCTCGTCCAGCGCACTCTGTATGCGACGCGCCCCCTGGTGGCCATTCTTATGCACGTTGCCGCTAGCGCGTCTCCGTGTCACCTAATGGCATCCGGCCGTAAGACGACACGTCGCGCGGCGACGCGGCGGGTGTGCTCTTACGGGGAGCGCGGGCGTCTGCTTCCCATTGTCACAATGGACGGGTGACAGT